AAATATATACACAGCAGTAAGCTTGCTTTCCTCACATAAGTGCTCTGCGTCATATGATCGCTGAATTCTTCCTAAATACACTAACTAATATGCTTATCTGAGTGAGCAACCGGTTGTGAACTTGGCTCTACCTTTGACTTCGTTGGCCAGAGCGCCTATCATTTGACTCGGATTTTTGTTCTTAGATTTATTACTATTGGAGTAGAATAAACTATGCTTTGTTTTCACCTTGCAATAATAATGTTTAAATTTGTTTGTTTTCTGACATTAGCAAGACAAGTTACGGCTTAATTAAATTGAAAGGCTGTAGAGCGAACTGCGTGCCACTAATTTTATCGGTGTCACCCAGTCACCATGGCTTCTAATGAACATTGCCGCCATGCGAATAAAAGTCGTACAATCTTATGACACTTCTAATATCTCCTAAACACGGCGGATAACTTGAAGGAATAGAAGAACAGCTACCACATACTGCAAAATGTTGTATTCTCAATTAGATATCGCCAAATTGTCATTTCCTGTCTTCTACGCTGTGTGACTTACTGTTGTTTTTTGTGCAGTCATCAACGGGTTTACACCCAGATTTAAGGTCCCTCAAATATGCACTCAGATAACACTGGAAATCCACTATTTACAGCCCAGTGGAACTTTAGTAGAAGTGCATCACTCGCGGTAACTTATTGTCAGTTCCCGTCTAATATACTCCTACGCACAACTCACCAGTCGCAGATTGGCATCTCACTAATTTACCAAATTCTCCTTGAGTTTTTGTACCAGCTTCCACAGGAGTTTTTTTTACCTACACACAGTTGATCTTGGTTTTATTAGTACCACAGACTTCCTGGATTTAGTAACTTCCTAACTAGGGACCAAGTTTCTTTTTGGTTGTGACTATAGACAGCTCGGTTGACACACCGTACACTTACTCTTCCTAAAGACGACTATCATGACACATCCTTGATACTTTCTGCTATTGATGGTCTGAAGTGATTGTGATTGTGATTGAGATATGAGTGAACCTTAAACTGAGGTGATTGTTCCAGATTTTCAGTCACAATCAAAACGCCTAATATTAAAATCAAATCGGCTGCCCCCGGACAAACAACGTTTTAAGGCAGTGATCGTATGGACAAAGGCTACAGCCCGACCGATTACCCTCAAACAAAAGTGAGATTACACTGATGTAGTCATAATTATATAAATGTCAGTTTATCCATCATTTGCAATAGAACAATCAGCGCGGGTTGTTTTTCCTAAAAATCTCTAGCATCTTATTTGAGTAGGCTACATTACTCAAGTGCTTCGTAACAGTAAATATCTGGAAACGAAAAAAAATTAAGAAGGTGCGAAAATTCTGCTTTCATTGATAGCATGTATATCAGTGCCTCACTTATATCCCCTAAAGCAATTTCTTTGTTTTGTTTAAAATCCGGTCCTTAGGTCGTCGCATGGTGTGAGCAAGATAGTCCAACGGAGCCTGTATGATATATACTCTAGATTCGATTCATCGACCACTCACGTGGACCGATTAATGATGGTGTGGGTGATTCACAGTTCACTGTCTTCATTGAGATGGCCGAAGTGGTTAGAGCGCAAATTTACTGACCGGAAGAGAAAGTTCATGGTTCGAACCCGACCTCTGCCGCTCGACTTCCCCTGTCTAGGTTTGAGCAACCTGGCAGTATCCCAGCCCTCGTGCTTCCTGCGGGTGGCATGGCAGCTAGGCACCGAAAGTGTGCTACAGCTGAACGATTGTTATTATTTATTTTTTCATTGAAGAATTTCGGATGTCCTAAATGAGATTTTGTTCTGTAGGTGGAATCAATTTATGTTGGAAAACCAAGTGTTTATGAGAATTCACGGTCCAATAACCTCGGATTTGTATACAGAATGATCAAAGTCACTGTAAAACGTGAAGAGACAAAGCGCATGAGAGTTCCTGGAAGCATGGAGCTCCACCATAAATTTAATCTTCTAAACTTGTGGAACTGCCCCCAAATGAATTACGTAATCTTGCGAGCGAAGGAGCGTCAAGCTGATTGAAGGATTCAAACAGATGAATGGAATGACTAGTAGGATCAACCGTGAAACCAGCAGAATGAGTGGGCAATGAGTACGTGTGAGAAAGGTCAAACTCACAGTTCGTCTGGGCTCGACAACTCCGTATATGGGCCAGCCAGACGACCAGTATCACCGATCGTCAGATCGGCCGATTACGGTCCAGAGTCAACTTTGTTCATATACGCGATTGCGACGCTGCTCGACGCCTACACCGAGGCACGATGCACCACCACATCCCTAAGCATCGATTGACACCATAACAGCGCCGAGACTTTTCCAAAAAAATCGAGTGACCTAGTGAAAAATCACCGGCTTAGCGTATTTGCATTCATATAAAGCCTGTAGCATACAGGGCTGGCTAACTCGTGAGGACTTCTTTTAGACGAACGTTCATCGATCGGGACAATTTTTCAACAAATCTTCCAACTGCTTCCACATTTTGTCCCATTGTCACAATAAGAGTCGCGTTTGAGTTAACTTTTTCATGTTGCCGAAAGCAACTACTCCTTTGGTGAAGGTGAGTGAATTTCTCTACCGCAAGTGTCGACTGTCGGAAATTGTCCTTGAGCTCTATATGATTGTGAAACTAACAATAAAGCAGTGTCGTTTAATTTCTAATGTTTCTGGACCAATGCTCCAAGAGCCATTTGTTTCATAAAGGAAACTACTCACAAGGTTGCTGAAAACTCTTCGATAGCCCACGACCGGTTTCGCCCTTCTTGGAGTTCATCAGGTAGGCGCAGTCCCCGAGCTTCCGTCAACGTCATAAACGAGAGATTCAGTTGAGTCTCCCATGAAAACCAAATTGATTTGCAAATGAGTGTACTTCTCGAAAACAGTCCAATTTGGGTTCAAGTAGATCATAAAGTTGACGGTAACTCGGGGACTGCACCTACCTGATGAGCCCCAAGAAGGGCGAAACCCGTCGTGGGCTGTCGAAGAGTTTTCAGTAACCTTGTGAGTAGTTTCCTTTATGAAAACACACTGTGGTATCTCCAACATCGTGCCAACTGAAACATGAGGCGGCCTGTGTGCAGCACATTCAGTTGGAGGACACCATAACCGTGAAAACCAAATTGATTTGCAAATGAGTGTATTTCTCGAGAACCATTGGTTTCACTCACAAATTGATGGTGATTCTGCGAAGCCGAAGTAATGTTTGTTGGCCAGTCTGTGTGTTTTCTATGGTACTCGGTGCGTCAACATGCATGTATTTCACTCTGTGGTTTGAGATCAACCACGAATGGAACGTTAGTAAATGACGCCAAATAATATTGCCCGTTGTACTGTTTTGGGGCAGTGTTGCTACTTATTGCGTCCAAAGCACACCCTAATATTTTCTTGGCTTCTGTTACTGTTCTAATGGACGTTAAGACAGACTTCACCTGCTAATAAATTAGGCGATGTGAGGCCAAACACTGTTGGGTTCAGCCGACCCAATGCTGCAGGTGGAGAAATCGAGTTTTCCGGTCCCACCACATATCGCGATGGACACGAAACGAAAGGCTTTACGATGACGTAGCTAAAATACTCACAGAAATGTTTTCAGTGTAGATGACAGTCGGCGGGTCGACTGCCTCTAACGTCACGGGTCGATACAGTAAACTGGACGAACGATAGACTACCGGGGGTTTAAAATATGACACTTCAAACATCAACATCTGAGGGAAGAGATAGCATTTAATGCTGGTTCTTTGGTAACATGGGAGCAGTTGGCAGCACGACCACGAACCCGTCGCTACACTCCACCACGCTCCTTAACAACGCACCGATGATGCCGCCTCGATTGGTTATTAAACGTTTGCTTAGCGAACAAACCAACGACCATATCCTTTGTGGTCCACCTACTAAAAGTTAGATAGAATTTGAAGTTTGATACTTATAAAGTACATAGTCATAATAAACAAATAAGAAACAATGAGAGGATTATGACTCGTTTTTCAGGTTCTTACTAGACAAGAAACAAAATTAGTGTTTGATCTACCAGGGGTTGACGTTTCAGACACTACCTGAGTGACAAGTTCATAAACCATATCCACGGTAAGATGCTCAAAGGTGAGTAGTAATTAGGGTGATACGATTGGCTCCATGAACCCACTGATCTGTAGAAAATGTGAATTCGTAAGAATATACAAGCGCACCCGAATGAAACCTATGCTGCAGTAACACTTCAGCTGCGTTCTAAATCGAACTCTATGGAACAAGAAGCATCGTACTTCAAACAATTAAACTAACGTCAAAGGTTCGAGGAGTGCATCATGAAAAACTATTTCTTGTAGATTCAGTTCGATAGAAATGAGCTTTCTTCTCCTATCTCCAATTTGATCTTTGCCAAGCGCGGTTTACTGTAGCTTTCATAATCATCCTCATTCTAGTTACCTCACTTTTGATATCATGTGAATGATCGCAGGATTCTTTAAATCAGTATTCCTATTGCTGTTGTTTGACTATTCTCCCTTCCATTCCAGTGCAATGATTTTGGGTAGTCACTGAATGAACTCATCCGAATTGCGTATCCTCTGTCTTTATAAAATTCGAAAACCCAGTTATCTGACCAGTGTGCGCTGGACGCACTCAACTGCTTATGAGTTCCTGAAACGGAGAATCTAGGGTCGGTTGCTCGCTCCTACGTATGGTTCTTTTAAAACACTTATGGCCATGGAACTAATCACTCGAGGGGGGCACGATTAGATGTGTCGCGAGTTTCGCCCACTTGTTAAATGCCTGGCTGGTTTTGCTCGGTTGCTATCCTTCGTGTACCCAGCTTTGATAGAATAATCCGCTTCCGGTTAGAATGCCATGACAGTAATTACTGCATGAAATTTGATAAAACTCACCACGTGATTCGGTAAAGCCTTGTCTGTCTGGAAACCTATAGTGGCTGCATAAAATGAGCTGCCCCGGTGAATGACTATCTCACATCTCATTTTGGCGCACCTTTTCCCGACGGTATTTTGCAGTCCTCGTGACTTACAATTTATTTATCGGTTCCGTTTTCAGCATAAAGTGACACAACAGGTAGACAATTCGATTGATGCGTGATTAGTTAAAAATATATAAATGAAAACAAGTTCATGAACCATAGCGTTCCGGGTGTTTTGAAGCAGGAATTGGGCTAAGCGATACAGCGATTTTGTAAACGTTCGGTTCGTACCGAGTCATCAGAGTTCATTACCAGGGTATAGTTGCAACAATCACTCTGGCAAGCTTGAGGAATTGCCGTGAAAACGCCTTGGTGTCTCTGGTAACTATGATGGGGTGATCAGGATGATAACCAGTGTAAAAACATTGTGGACACAAAACCACGTTTGGGCAGAAGATGCACGTGTACCGTTCTTCGTTCCAGTCTTCCTTTTCACACAATTTGCACGGTGTTGTCATCCAAGGGTCGGCAAATGAGGAAGTCAACCGATCGTTTACTCTCTCTGTTATCTTGGGTAGTTCGTGAGCATAACAGTAGTTGAAAAATGAATTGAGAGGTTTGACGTTTGATTTCGGACATGGGACGACATACACACGAGGGCATTCGTCGCCAAAGACTCGTTTAAAGTAGTTACTGACATCCGCATCGGTAGCCAGCTCTATGAAGTCAGAGTTTTCTGAGGGTAAAGAAAATGAGTGCAATAAATTACGTTTATTTTATATAGAGGCAGCGATAATTTGGTAAGATGAATCTCAATGTACAGCCTGCTGAACAAGCACGTGTCCATGAGTTTTATTTCAGACTTCAATACCATTTTGGGAATAAAACTCATTCGGAAATTAACTAGGCTGTAACCAACGAGCAAAATGTGGATAAGCTGAGACCTTTATAGCATAAAAAGTATATCATTATAGACGTCTAACATACCCTTGACTTTTTTTTCGTTTCTGAACGTTTCTGCGCATGCCAAAAATAACAACGGGCATGCACCAGAGATGGCAGTCCTATCAACTTCATTCTGGTCAGAATTCGGATTGACTCTCACTTGCCTTTGCCCTTGTCACTAATTCTTCAATGGTTTTTGGATATAACTAAGAAAGATACACACGAAGAATTTGCACAGCAAAATTTTTGTGGCTTCATGAATCAACCAAAACACTTGGGATTTCTTCCACCGTCAATTCTTAGTACCTAATGATGTGGTTTTCCGCTGTTTGAGGGGAAAAAATGGCAGTGATCTACATTTGAGGAGCGTTACGAAACTATGAAAACTTATTTTGGTGATGGTTCACAAGTGTTGCCATTCGTGCTTGCATTCGATCCAATATGGCCAGACTATTTTCCGTCAAAATCATTAAAACTCAGACTTGGGACTTGAAGTGGAACACTGTAGAGCACGTAGATTGTGTAAAGTGTACCAGTGAGTTAGACGAAAGTCAACTTTAGTCAGTTGCTACTGTTGCTGAGTGGGTGAAAACAAGCGGGCTCGTTATTCGCACGCAGCGGGTGTTTGGACTGTGTTTTTCACTCGAATATCCTGTAAGCCTGCGCAGCAAGCACAGCAAATCACTTTTTGGCCTCTTCTGACAGAATTTTATCACGCTACTCCTTGAAAGAATAGCCTGCGGTCCGGCTTAAATGATCACCATCATCATCATCATCATCATCGTCATCATCATCGTCATCGTCATCGTCATCATCATCATCACCATCACCATCAGNAGCCTCCTCGTAATCCTCCTCCTCATAATCATCATTATTATCGTCATCATCATCATCATCTTCATAATCATCATCATTATTATCATCATCATCGACCGTATGACATCAGTGTTCAACACCGATGCTTCAAAGCCGTAGAGTCATGATTTATTTCAAAGCCTTATTATAAAGAAAAAATAAAGTGGACGTGGAACTGACTTAGTATTAGTGTCTCTAACCAGGCGCGTGGTCCCCATGCTGGAAGGTGAGTGGCACCGACAATACCCAAGCGTTTCCTGATCTACTTCATAACCCTCTGCCAAGTCAAATGCTGGCCACCTCTCTGCCTACGCCACTTAGGGTTGGGCATGGAAACCAGCACTCTGTTCGGCAAACGATCGTTCGGCAGAGGCAACCCATGTCCCAACTAACGCAGCTGCTGTTGCTGGACACATTCTCCAATGGAAGTACCGGTTGCACAGCCGGACTCGGGGTGAATATCATTCCCTCAATAATTTCTAACCTGAAGGACGAACTTAAAGTGACAAAACGTAGGTCTTGTAATGAGGAGATGGTGAGAAAATGTACACCTTGGGAATAAATATTACTGAGAAGTTCGTTTACAATCTTTCCTCTCTAGAGTGAAAAACTTCAATAAGGAAACAGGTTTTGGCGCACGACTTGAAGAAAAATTCAGAGCCAAAATTCTCTCTTAAAATGACCGTCTTACAGAATAGGTTATTTCGCTGTTGAATGAATTAGTCCTTCAAAAGAAAATAACCGAAATATCGTTAGCTGTCATGCTGTAAAATCTTTAAAATTCATACAGTACTAGCTATTTACTCATCTTGCTTACTACTCCCCAGGTGGGTCAGTAACCGCCGCTCGGGGTACTCAGCATATGACTATGAAAAGCCAGATGGCCGTAAGGATCTTACTCCGAAAAGCTTTCGTCCTTTTGCTTTGGCGCTCACAGCAAGCAGTTCCGTTAACGCAGCAAGAGTACCAAAGTAAAATCCCTTCTAAATAGAAGCCTGTAGTTGTTTCAAGTTTTAAAACAATAAGGCATATTACAATAGCATCTCAGTCTAAAGCAAATGTAGATCAATTCTGATGTTAATGGTCCCCAGACCTACTTCTTAGGCAAAGAAACTCCCGTCAGATTTGGTCTATGATCCCCGATTTTTCCAAGCCTCTTCAGGGACTTTTGAGTGGCTGCTGGCAATTTCAATGCGGCAAACGCAAACACGTTTGTCCTGCTCTACCGTTCTGTTCTTTTGTCTACTTGGACTATCATGATTTAATTCTGGAGCTTTAGGTTTTAGTGTTCCAGCGAGGCCCTATTAGTTACTGCTTTACTTCTAATGAATGGTTATGCTATAACACCCACATACTACTTCTCACAATGCTTCTGACAATAGGATTGTAATATGGGTCTAAACTCAAAAGTTTTCCGACATAAAGTGAGCCATTTTCGACGTATCATCTATGTTGACCTCAAAACCTAGCATCACGTCTGGCGCCAGACAGACACCTGCCTAGTGACTTGTTTGCGGTAGGTCATTTTTTGTGGTATATGTGTATGTGGTATTGCGCCGGGGACACGCGGCTGCAAAATCCCCAGCTCAACATAATAGTATTGAAAACTTTGCTCTGACAGATTCTGGCCTTTTCCTTGGCGTGATACTTGACCTTGGCCTTTTATTGACTGAATGACACTGAAAATCTATCGGTACTTCACTTTCCGAAGGATCTAGAAAGGGAACAGTATATATGTTTACAGGGTTTTATCAGTGTTCTGGAAAAAATATAATTTGCACTCCCCGCCCGTCATTCGATAGCGATTAGACTGCCCAACAAAACAGTGCCAAAAGATTAGCGAGTATACACTTATTTGCAAACTAATTTGGTTTTTCGACAGGCTCACCTGATACCCAGCTGTTTCCAAGCCACTGAATGTGCTGCACCAGGCCGCCTCATGTTTCAGTCGCTCCGATATTCGAGATATCGCGGTACATATATATATTTGTAATGCACAACCCATAAGGTTGCTGAGGGCTATCGACGGATTCTCAGCAACCTTATGAGTAGTGCAGTGCCAAAAGATTTTGCTTAACTAAGAAACCAAGAGCCCATGATTCTTGTGGCTCCTTACCAATTTTTCTCGCCGTGATTCAATAAACTCTGTCCGTTTTCCACATGATATAACTAGCCCAAAGGTGGATTTTTATTTCTTTACGTATGATTATTTTTATTTTTCATTACATTCTAAAGCAACACAAAACATTTTGTGTGCCATCTCTTAATTAATCAGTCCAAAGCTTCCGAAAATTTGGTGAAACCTTGTGCTAACCGGGCAAAAGAATAGAATGGTGTTAAGGTAATATTTTTAAGATACAAATAAATTGTTCTGCACAGTTTACGTACCAAGTTATATGACTGCATCGAAAAACGTCCTCCGGTTTGTTAGGAAGAAGGCTAAGTACAATTCAGTGACTCCCTCTAACTTGTGAAAGAAACGAATGTCGAAGCACTTGATATTACATCAACTAATGAATATTTATGCAGTCTTTTCAACAATAACAGACTCACTTCCAGCCAGCTACTTCACTTTTCATCTCCAAGTTGGGCCATTTTTGGCCTTTTATTGGTAACCTGTGACACATTCATGGCAAAATTTTGATAGCATATATGACCTTAAGAATGCTTGAGAAGCCTCGGACGTTTTAGTGAGGGAGTGGTATTTAAGCTGGATGACTACCTTGAGTAAAAACACAGCATTGAGATTTTTATATGTCTTCGCGTGTAGTGAACCTGACAAGGCGCTACTTTGCTACTGTCACTGCTGAATCTCTGGAGGACTTCCCCCTCTTCTTTCCAGTATGAGGATCGGTTTCCTGAACGCAGCATCCTATTCATAATCTAACTAAAGCCTCTTTGAATAGTGTCCATAAACCCATAGTTGTGTGAATATATGCTGCTCCGTTGATCGCCGCTAAATAATTGCCTAATGTGACCATTAGTGTATATAAGTATCAATAACCCTCTTTAGGAATTCGGGGTAGAAGACTCGGAAACAGCCAGTGGACGATAATGACCCACTTCGTGATTTGATTAGCTGCAACTCAAGAATGCCGCCGCCGTAGGCGCATTGACGGAATTGGAAGATCTGTGACCTCATCGAAGGTGAAGATGACGTCCAGGTATGTTAGTTCATCCCTGGTACGATTTAGAAAATGTAAAATTAATCCCAGTCGTATTACGAGCTTGGTTGATCAGTGGTGCTGTACATAGCGACAGGACCATATTAGGGAGCAAGGTGGTGCAAAGACCTCGTTTCATCAACGGAGAACTGTAACTGGAACAAGAGTTCAAACTATAGTACTTTCTTTTTCACGCCCAGCTGTCATTTCCGTATGGAAAGGGGTGGGGGTTGTCCATTATTCTGAAAAATGATGTTCTTCTGAACTAATACTGGCTTTTTCCGCTAGGACCAGCTTGCATGTTTACAAAGTCGTATCACGGTGGGGTGGATGCCGCGTGCCAACCGTATGTGCCATAATCCATTGTGCGAATATGCCCAACGAATTCATCCATTTTGACCGGCCAGTCTAACACCACAATCGGACTGATAGACCGAGTAGTTTTCCACACCCTCAAGCATCAGCTTCCTTGATAAACGTCATATACTGTGTAACCGACGTCACAGAGCAGTTTTTAATCTGACAACAAAAGTTACATCAGCCAAAAGAGCATTTCGCATCTTCGATCGGGAAAGCTTTTACCTCAAATAACTATGGAGAAATAGATGTAGGTCGGACTAGAGAGGGCGGCATTTCGGAGATATCCTTTATGTAAGGGCGGTAGTGCATGTACCCCTTCATAGTGCAACGCTATCTGGAAGGACGCAACGTTACAGAGGGTCGGCCAGCAAGGCGCCATTCTATGCATTACTTATTCTCCCTGGTATTCTCC